CACAGCATAAATTGAAATTCAGATTACTGCAATCGATTGTACTTCTTCTCTCTAGGTTCATCACGTGTATGTCTGGATGCATGTTGGATGTAGACTATATGTGATCCAGAATGTACTATTTAGCATTAGAATTAACAACGGAGATTAATACGGACTCAATTCAGTCCTCGTAACGTATTCGGTTATTGTGACTTGCTTGGATATTAATCATAGATTTATAAACCTTTCTTTCAGTAGATTGTGGGAAATCAATTTCTCGATAGTATGTAACATCGATACTATAATCAGTGTTCTTGAAGTGGTCGAAGTTTTTCAAGATGATTTTATTGTTCATGGTTCTGATAACGTAGTTTGTGACGAGAGGCTTATTGCTTTATGGCGTGGTATAATTGGGATGAATACTAGGGTGAATCCAAATAAGTGTTTATCTTTTTTATCTGCTTTTGAATGTCCAGGATATTGGTTTTAGACCAAATATGAAGCGACTATCTCAAATGGCAAATGCACCGTTTCCAAAAAATCATACAGACCTACATTTACTAGTGGGTGCTCTTCAACAATATTCCCGACTTATTCCTAATTGTTCTGGTTGTGACAATTATTTATCTTATATTTTGACATCCGATTCATTTAACTGGGATGAGGAACAAGAGTCTACTAAGGTCCACTAAAGTTTCTTCAAAGTGATATTGTTCTCCGAAATTACTTCTCTAGTATACATTCCGTACTTATCACTGATGCATCACTTGTAGGTATTGGTGCAGTTTCGAAACAGAAAGATAGAGGAGTAATCTATTTTATTCACAAACCCAGCGAGAAGCATTAGCTGTGTTCTGAGCGGTCGAAAAACTCCATAAATATTTATTCGGAAAGAAATTCGCCATTGTTACAAATCATGAGGCTTTAAAGTTCATTTATCATCCTGGAAAGTCCTCAGCTCGTTCCTCAGCTGCTGTGGTTCAATGACATAGTGCTGCTTTGACTGAAAGGTTCAGCAAAGCAGTGCCAAGCAAATCATGAAATCATGAGTCACTTGAAGCTAGACCACCATTGAAAACCTGGAAGCGCTGGATGGCCGTTTCGTCCTGGTATGGGACTCCTCAGCAGTGCGCATCCACTATCCCGCACCACGCGGGGCCCGAACCCAGGACCTACTGGCTTCGCGCGCGAGCACTTAACCACTAGACAACTGAGCCGGCATCCAACGGTGTTAATGTCTAACTTCAACCAATCCACGAAGTTGCGCCACCGTACACCATTGTCTTCAGTGAGTTGTTATCTCACAACAGACCGGTTGAACTCCACTGGTAACGGCTTCTCACTAGAACCGCCGTCCAGTGCTTCCAGGTTTTCAATGGTGGTCTGGCTTCAACTGACTCATGATTTCAACCTGTGAAATTTCTAAAACTCCACAAAACCCATTCTGATAACTATATTTCAATTATTACAAGACAGACCTGCTAACATTTTAGACCGTTTGTAAGTGCAGCTGGTGGAATGTTCAGATCATATTAGAAATACTCGTCGATATCTCAGATGTATATACAGTGCTTCACGAAAAAGTTGGAATTACAATCAGAAACGGAGGTTTCCTACCTACTTCAGGTAGCGGTATGAGATTGTAGATTTATGGTGTACCCCGATATTGGTACTGCTTTAACAATAGTCTTGGTCGCAAATTGTAGATTTGTTATGATGTAACTGCCTAATCCATGAGATCTCATATGGAAGTCACATCATTGCCTACCCTGACTCATCGTATTGTAACAATCATCAATATATGATGAAGATCATATTTAGGCTGGAGATAGAACAATATATTAAATATGGAGAAAATATTATGTTACGTAAGTATGACCACGCCTGCAGGATCGAGCAATGCTATCCGACGAGTTCAATTTCAAATGAATGTTACCGAGTCCACCATCATCAACCTTCTCTTAGTGTTACACGTTGAGAGTCTATTTTCCAGTTATCTCACGTTCGACTCTGAGGGTTGTGGTTACGATCCAATGACACTATATGTTTTCCACTACTCCTGATGATATTTTGTACCTAAATGTTCGTGTTGTTATTCCTCCTTATTACGTAAATCTGTCCTTGAAAATCTTCATATTGGAGATTTAGGTGCTGAGAAAGTGGAGTTCATGGTAAGGCTCACATGTTGGTGACCGGAGATGTATATGCAGATATATGTCATACGGCAAACAATTGTGGAAAATGTGATAAGTTGAAAAGTCAACTTTCGAGGTGGACTTCATGGCCAGTATTGTCCTAGGCCTGGTAGAGAATTCGAGCAGAATATTGTGGTCCATATTTTGGCGAGTGCTACGCACTCGTAGTCATAGATTCTTTTTCTACGTTGTGTGAAGATTATTTTACTACTTCGTCCAATTTCACCTTCACAAACCAATCATTAAGAAAGATGTGTAGTCGAGAAATGGTTCCCATGGTGTCAGGAAATCTGTGGTGCGAATTCTGCACATCAATGATCTCCGTACACACAACCGATATATCTGTAGCGTGTTGTCGAGTCGAGGTTGACTATGAGCACCACTACAGGTAAACGCGTACCAAATAAATCACAAGGCAAAGATTGAAAGTAACCAGATTTATTCGTTGGCGATCTCGTGGTATCGAAAGGATACCGCGATCGTGCAAAAGGAGTACAAGTGGAATTAGCGGGCAAGTGTACGAACATACAAGATCACAATCCGCGGAAAAGTAATGGAGAGTAATGGAGTAGGAATATGGCTGTTTTTAGCACAGTTAAACAAACGAGCACAGTAAAACAATCACTGGTACAATTGGTTATAATAATAATCAATCGCGTTCTCTTGGTAAAAGCAGGTCACTACATATCTATAAAATACGATTCAAGGATTCAGTTGAGCTTGTTGCAATTTCGGTTGTTAATCCTAATCCTAATGATCATATTCTGGATCATACAGAGCGTATATCCAATACACAGTCTAACAGACATACGATGAACCTAAGGAAAATATGTTCAGTTGACTACAAAACCTCGATTCCAATTCAATCTGTGGTGATCATGGTGTTTGTAAGAACTAATGATTCTTTGGTACTCCATTTGTCTGATTTTGAGTTCCAAATACATTGCGTTCATTTGTACTCCTCAAGTCCTATCTGACTTAAATTGAGTTATTTCGGGGATATCTAGTTCGTATAATATACCCAATACTTTTGATTATCACAGCTTCTTAAATGGAAGGTTTTCTTGTTTAAGAAATTTCATGTTTGTTTCTTTTGATTACGATCTAAAAATTCTGCACTGAAAGAATTTATATCCTCTTCATTCCTGGTCGTCAATTTCGCAGCAGTAATAGAATTTGCACTTGTTTTCAAGGGTTTGACATTTGTTGCTTGCGTTTGAGAGTAAGAGAGCTTGGTATCCGTGCGCAATGTTTTGCATTCAGCATTACAAAAGACACGTGGATGACGTAAGGAAAATTAACCATAGGATAAACGTTGACCAAACCCGTGTTCACCTCTGTAACATGCATTGCAATTCTTTGTTAAATTGTTAAATTTCCACGAGAATGGGGACCATTATTAAACAGACGCCAGCTTGAGCGGCTTTGAGTATGTAGTTCATCATAACGGCCAAGCAAAGTATTGAAAATTTTCACTGACTGGAAATGAAACTCGTTGACTGCCTTATAAATGAGACATGCTATTTCAGTATCTTGAACTGACATTTTGAGCTTGCGAATAATTTCTTCTTCTAAACTCGTAATACAATTCCAAGCAATCAGTCGATCAAGAAGTTGAATTTCAAATTGTTCTTCAAAACTGCACTTCGTGGCCTGATTCTGTAATTCAAGTATAAAGTCTTTAACTTCCTGATCATTTTGTTGCATCATTTTATGGAACTCCAATCTCACTCTGCATTGAAAACTAACACATTGCACGTGACTAAGCAGTAATTCCCTGAGAGATTCATGTTACAATGAATCCGATTTCTCCGGAAAAGCCACATGTTTTAACAGGTTATAAGCCTGTTTAACGATGAATTCGGGAAATAAGCTATGGATTTGTCATCTCAAGTGTCTTTTCTAGTTATGCAGCAGATTTTGAACTGCTCCACGTAGTTTTTAAAGTCATATCTACTTGAATTATTATACAAATCCGTCTCACTGTCTATATGATAATTAGAAGTATCCGAATTCATTTGCTAACTAAGAGTTCCCGAAATGGTTCAATTTAAGACAAGCAGAATTAGATGACCACAAATGAGAGTCTTATATGTGGAATTTGTAACCAGTGGGCAATCAAGTACAACGGAATCATTAGTTCGTACAAATACCATAGTTCATCGTTTGCGAAAAAACCCAACAACTGGAGATATTAGATCAAAAAGTCTTAATATAATGTAACGATTCAAATTAACCACTCATTTATCTTATACAAAAACGTCAAATTATTAACTCTGCATTTAGTCAATCTGGAATTTCATTGTACATTTGAACGAAAGACTACATTTATGAAGCATATTTTCTGCAGATTAAAATAATAATGAATGCTGAAGTCTCTAAAATTATTATTATTATATGAATACATACACATAGTTCCCTTTATCATTTTGAAAAGAGCAAGAACAAAGATTCTAGCAGAATAGCATGAATTCATTTTATTTCGTAGGTTCTCGTCAGCTGCTTACAACCTGTGATATTTAAAAATCACAATTACAAAATGGGTTTAGATTGCTAACTGAATATTGTAAATATATATTTAATGTGAAAGAATATTCTACAACTTTAATTGTGACAACAGTTCAAAAGTGGGTTAGAAACAATCGATTACATAATGAATAACATTGAAGGAATGTAGTAAGTAGAGTTCAGTTGAAAGATTATTAATTTGAAAGATAGTTGAAAAAATAAAATAGTCGATGATGTAATAAATTCGAAAGAAAAAAGAAAAATTTTCTTTTTTTTCTTTGTTCTTCTTATTGTTAATGATCATCAAAATTCCACAAGCATGCAGAAAGCACGCACACATAGAATCGAATGACTTGGGTGTGTGTTGAAAATCCATATATATTCGTGAATGTTAATTGGTTGTAGATAAATTATTGATTGTTTGTATTTACAACCAATGAGAGAATAAATGAATATTGATGTTTAGACATGAGCTCAAGAAGACACACACAACAATTTATTTACTGGATTAAATGCTTCGATTACATTGTGGTGAACAAATAATACAATAGTTCAATGGGTTCACTACAAAATAACAGGTATGTTTAATTTACCAATTAGTCTGTTTTTCACAACTATTGTAATTCAATTTGGACAACACTATTCATTTTTATCAAGGAGAATTGAAATTTGGTTTGAATATATTTCATACATCCAGATAAACAGTTGAGTACAAATGAATCATCTTTTCGAAAGAAGAGACCTCAGATAACATAAACTCTGTTAAGAGATGAAATATTTTGGAAAATATATCGGAAGAGAAGAACCATCAGTTGCACAAATGCTTCAAAGTACATTTGGGTTTCCTATGGTATTTGTTCAGATTCTGTTAATAGAGTTAATTACATAATTAACAAGTCCGTTGTAATTTATTTATGACTTATTTCATAAATTTTTAAATTGCGTGGAAACGTCTACATAAAATTGATTTCAGTAGATTACCGTTAGCTTTGTAAGAACATCTCTATCTCTGTTGGTTACAATTTTTCTTATGGACTACCAGCTCCATTTGGAAGCTATAATGATTTCCGGAAGATTATGACATCTAAACTTAAAGCCTCGAGGATATGAGTGAAAAAGACTAGCACCATTTGATTTTCGGAAATTCAAATAGAGATCTCATTGTTGTGATCCTGAATTCACTTCACGTAAAACTCTAATACATCGGGTGAATTCATGTTGACTAATTATCATACCTTACGTGAAGATGATTCAGCGATACTCATGAAATAAGAAACTAATGCCAGTTATTATTTTAACACGGAGTTTCACAGGATATCGAACCCAGAACATTCGGTCATGCGCACGTGTGCCTAACCTGTAGACCACCTGTAGATTAAAACTATTTGGTAGACGTTAAAAGCACTTACATCTATGTTTAGTATTCTCACTTTGATAATCTTTCTTTAACTTCGTTTGATAAGGTACTTCTCATTAACAGATCCAGTTTTGTGTTAATTACAAAGTATTGAATCAGGCATTTTGTCAATTCCATTTCCTCATGAGACGTTTTAGGCGTTTAGTTGTACTGGCAGTTCAACTTGCAGTCCTTGTATGTACAAGTTATCAACTGACAAAATTACTATTTCAATTCAAATGGGAGGAACAATTCGGCTTATCACGAAATGATGATGGTTTCTCCTTCAATGAATTACCACGTGAAACTTACTCAAGTTCAGTAGGTAATTTAAATCAGACCTATTATACTGCATCACAAATGAAGAAGTATGAAAATAAAATTACACTCGGATTTACTGAGAAAGATCTTGAAGAATTGTATGAAAGGAATTCCACTCCAGCTGCCGTGAGTTTCTTAGAATGACTCTTCTACTAGATTTTGATAGTAATTGCTTCAGTTGACAGAACTTCTCATTTTGTTCTATACATTGTATCATAATCACTCTGACCCTATTTTTACTTAATAATAAGAATGAATTACTCACGATATTGTTATTTCAGACTACTTTTTTCCACCTAATTATGATGTTGAAAACATTCAAGTTGTACTGATGTTCTGGTTGTTTAGTCGGCATTATTATGAGAAAGAGATTTCTGTGTCTGTCTAACCAATTAGAGTTGGACACAATTTCAATTGAACTAAAACTATATTAGCAGTAAATAATATAAGGTTAGGAGGCATTAAACTAAGTTGACATCCCAGCTTCAATCGTCGAAATAGCGTCACATATTGTTGGGATTTCAACACCATTCAATATTCTAGGCTTCATTCAAGTCATTAGATTTCAGAGAGTTTACAAGTTTTCATAATTCATAATAAAATAGGTATCAATACAAAGAATCTTCATACTCTTGGAAGTGCAATCTAAAGGTCTCTCCCACAAAAATAATCAAATTAACAGCGGTCTGCAGTAGTCTTTTACCACAAGAAAATACAAATGTAGAATATTCTTTATAATAACTTGTAATCAAGCTCTACATTTATACAACCGCTTTATTATTCAAAAGATGTAGCCAATTTTAAGACAAATGGATTTTTCGTAATCTAGTTTGTGAATTTAGAATAGTTTGCAGAAGCTGGAATGATCAATATGCAGCGTTGCCTTAAGTCAAGTTTTGAATGGAATGGAATTGTGAGGCCAGCGATTTTAGTTCAGTTCTAAGCTAGTGAAGATAAACAAAAAATCAATATACTTATTTAGAAAGTTACTACAGTAAGTTCCGTTTTCATTGAGATTGAAAGAGAAAAACAGATAATAATACGACACCGTACTAAACTTCTATTTATCATACCTCATAAGTCATAATTGTTAAGTGAATTTCTTTAGAAATAAAGTCGATGGACTGTGTATTGTTGTCAGACATGTCGTGCACTCAGAACTTTTAATTCTATCTAAATGAAAATAATGACCAGTACTTACTAATGTTTACGAATATTTTAAAGTCTGTTGTAGATATTATCACTAAAATTCTATCGTTCTGTATAGCCTTCGCTTATTCGATTAAAGTATCTCTTCGGTTAATTGTATTTTGCAGAGAAAATTAATTCTCAACTATGGAAACCTTCGCATCAATATTATTCGAAACTTCTCCTTCTGTTTCGCTTGTGATTGTGAACTGATTTTCGACAGATCAAGATGGCTTGAAGCCGATGTTATAATCTTGACAGATCACTTGTATCCTAAAGGTCCAAGACCACCAAATCAACTATGGTTCATTTTTGTACATGAACCTCCCCCATACATCAGAATCGCTGATGGATTGGAAAATAAAGTGAGTTGAAAAAACTTTCGCCTTGCTTCAGATATTGGGAAATGTGAAAGCATTCATCAATACGTCTTCTAGTTTCGTCAATTGCATGTGAACGGCCTCTAAAACCTGCATTGACTCCTATTAAGTAGAATTTATCAACAAATTCATTAAAAGTGGAATATTAGATGAAACATCCAAGTATGGTTTTTAGCATAAGGTGGTTTGTTCAACATTTGTTATTTATTATTTGTAACTCAAAATATATAGTGAGTCATTAGTTTAGAACAATAGGACATTATTTAGTAATCTCTGGTTGTATTCACTAGAAATGTTAATGAGACAGCTATGTGATCATCACATCCTTCACGATAACTTAGTTGTTTCGATTATTTCAAACACTGGCAATTACCTCTACTGATATAATGACAAAACTGAAATATTGTTTGCTTTCCGTTGATTATTCTGTTTTGGAAGTCTCATGTGATAAAGTTTGATTCTTGCTGGAATAATGTGAACAATCTAGCACCTTGCTTTGTTGAATATGTGGTTAATAAAAGTAAAACAATTTGTTGAGTATACGAAATAATGAGTTTCTATTTGTTTATTCAATGCATGAATAATGTCAATAATATTATGAAATGTACAGTCGTCTACATGAACATATATCTCCTGAGACATTGCAGTAACAAACATATATGTATTTTACTTTATTTAAAAATAGACCCTAATGAAATCGTATTATATGCAACTGTCTATAAAAAACACTGAACTGACAATGGTAAGGTTTGGTAGTATTTACTTCGTAGCTTCATGACTGCTTCTTAATGACGATGTGTATAATCGATTAAGTTTATCCTGATTATTGCAATATATTTTCGCTAATTAGAAATCATGCACTGACACAAACGACTCGATGCAAGAGAACATGCATTCATGAAACATGAGGGCTTATAGTTCGATAAAATGTTTCGGTTTGACTCGGCTTAATTCTTTTTCAAAGGATACCGAAAACAATCACTTACTCGAAAACATCAGCTCTCGATTTAGTAGTTACCAGTAGACTGTGTAGACTGTGTAAATATTTTTCCTATTGGCATTTTAAAATTATTCTTCACATATCTAAATGTTTAGCATATTTTGGTGTTTTTCACTCAGGTCAACTACACAATCTCTTATCGAATGGATTCAACAATTTATTTACCGTATCACAATTATATCCCATTTGTTGCTAGTCATGGTCCAGATACAAAATACGTACTCCCTTCCCATAACTATGCCACTGGTAAATCTAAAATGGTAGCATGGTTTGTAAGCAACTGTCAACCTAAAGGTCCGAGAATGATGTATGTAAAAGAATTATCTCGTTATATTCAAGTGAGAACCCAGATTATATAGTTACCGATTTTATTTCATATGTTTGCCTACAATGGTCCCAGTACATAACAAGTTCAAACGACAACAGGACTTTAAGTCCAATATGAAATGTTTTAGTGTTGTATTTCAGGTAAACATTCTCATCAGATCAAAGCACAAGTTAGGAAGTGGATGGAGTATAAATTTGCCTTGTTGGTTAAATTATTGTAGAGATTTTCGTCAGTTTGTTTAGTCCAAGAATAGTATGATCACACAGACATACAGCATGTCCCATGTATATAAAAATGGTGTGAGTAAAAGCTAATTGAACAGTGAGAAGACAGGGTTAATCTCGTTGTTCAACTAAATTTTATAAATAACTCATTGCTTTAATAATTAGTATTTCATTCATCAAAATAATTATTAGTATAGTGAGTAAAACATTTAGTACTCAAACGGAAGTTGGGCCTTAAATTGGTTCAGACAAGAATGAGACTAAGTGAGTACGAGTCTGTTGCAATTTATTTATAATTTTGAATCTTATCAGTTCATTATGCTTTGAACTTGCCACTGACTGTTTAGGATTTACTATAACATTAATCTATGATTGATTCTATTTACTGGATCTAAAGTTCATCAAATGCTACACCATAAATAATAACTGTTATTAAGTGACTTTCACGACAATTTTTATTTGCCATATGGACTGTTATTGAGCCAATGTGTGTGGAAATTATGTGAATTTACACACTTTAGTGATTGTTTTCAGTATATATTATGAACGTAATATAATATCGACAAAGTATGAAACTAGGATTTCGGCTTCGTCATTAAATTCCAATTTTCTGTTGTCTGACGTGTTAATAAATCTGAAAAGCGATGTTCATGGTAGTGATGATCTCGATCTTTTCAACTTGATTTTGTGTAACAATGTTCGTGGTCGTTATAGTCGACTAGTTTCCATAACGTAGTCTGACATCCGGTTGCAAAATATTTCTGCTTATTACTTATTTCGTAATTACCAGGTTCCTTTCAATGCTAAAGAAATAAACTGCTTTTCTTTGATTTATTTCATAGGTTGATATTTATGGTAGATGTGGCACTCTGTCTTGCCCTAGAAAAGTCAATGTTCAATGTTTTACTGTACTTGGAAAGCATTATAAATTCTACCTGAGTTTTGAAAACAGTTTATGCCCTGATTATATTACGGAAAAGCTTTACAGAAATGCATTAATGTAGGTAAACAATGAGATTTTAATAATACTATTAATTGTTTACTACATTTCCAACATCCTCCAGTTTATAGCTGCAGTGTATCATCTCTGTGTTTGACATGGCATTTGATGAACATACTATATCATTTGCTGCTTCTCTACTAACTCTCATCGAACAAATTAATTTAGAGCTGTACTAAATATTCGTAGAGCCCCCTAAGATAACTGCCTGCTTCGGTTTGGGCACCCGGGCAGAATCACAGCCCACACACAAATGATGAACTCTTATGGCGCTCTCTCCCCACGATTTTAATAGACTGTAACATATCACTCATTTTCAAAAGATAGATCAGGGTGGTTAAGTTCAATTATCTGTGATGAATAATTTATTTTCTCTCATTTCATTTGTCATTTCCATCACCTCACTAAAGCATTCAACTATTGTATCTGGTTTGTTTAAATAACATAGCAACAATGTAATTCCAGTTGTGATGGGTGCCTCATATGAAGAATACAAGCGTGTCGCTCCTCCTCATTCATTTATTCATGTGGATCAGTTTGAATCCCCAGAAAAGCTTGCCAATTATTTGAAGTATTTGGACAGAAACGATACTGCGTACAATGAGTACTTCTCATGGTATGAGCATGGGACCATAGATGTTTGGTTTCCATTGCCTCAATGCGCTATATGCTTATTGGCACATACCGCTCATAAACTGAAATCGTATACATTCCCAAATGTTTCGAAATGGTGGAACGATGCTTGTGTTGGTCGTAAACTACGCTGGAATTCTGTCGATTAGCAACTTTTTACAGTTTTGAATAATACTTATATCACAGGTTACTATGGTTTTGACTCTGTATACTGTAAAGTGATTACGATTTTATTAGTTTGTTATTTTTATCAAAAATTCACTCAAAACTATTTATGGGATACTTTAGACAGAATAAAATGTGTTCATTAATATTTCCAGTTTATTGTCTCTACAACATAAATTTACAAACAGCATAATCTATTTAACAGTAATTATATCGTATACAAATTGTTTAAAGTTTAATGAAAGAAGATGAAAAGAGTGATTGACAACCGACCGACTGAGCACGACGTGTGTATTCTTAAACTTATATTGTCTTGAAAAACTGAGTGTTTACTGAATCGTTGATTTGTTCAGCTTAGTATTTTATTTATAAGCAACAGTCGTGCTGAGGGTTTGCCAAGACCTAAACATCAGTTGAATTAACTAATTTCGGGAGTCTCATCCCATTTCCAAATTTCACTAATTACATCTGAGGTCAGTTTTGACCATATGGTTAACCTTCTTCAAAAGTTGTCAATGTATCGCAGCAGTGAAGCTCTCCTTTGACATAGACTGATGTGATCGCAGAAATAGGAAACTAGTTCGAAACGCTAAATGCACTGAAATGCTCTGTGAATTTCAGAAAGTCTATCACTCGAGAAGTCGTGATGCACATAACTTATAGTAAATTTATTATTAAGTACCTTCGCATTTATTGTTACAATTGTTTATGAATTAGATGATCAACAGATGATAGAATAAGAAGACAAGAAAGTCGATTCATAAAATTATCAAATGACGGATGATCGATTATCGTTGACTGCGTTGACCGAATGTGAGTGATATCAAATTGAAATAAAGAGAACATTCTTAGAAACGACAAATGTCCTTCGACTGACTCTTATTTATGACACACCGGTTAGAAAGTTGACGGAATTGATGCAAACCTGTAGAAAATGAATTTTTATGAACGGCTAGCCAATAATATTGGAAGTGTTTCATCGTAGCTTCGTAACTATTAGGCACGTGTCTTGTAAAATTTAATTCGTTGCTTGGTGATATATATGAGAAATCTTTAGTTTGCTAACTACAATATATGTGTGCGACGATCTGTGTTGTTCATTCAACCTTCTTTTCTCATTTGATAAAGAAAGAATTCACAACTTTGTCAATCCATTCACAGGAGACACTGCATTTATTTACATATAGATGTAACTCGTTTCCCTTGGTTGTTATATTAAACTGATCAACCACAAAAGCTGAAAATTTAACACCCAACTGGTTTAGCATCATTGGTGAGACTATTTATTCAAAGCTTACCACACTATATTCTGGAGTTGTTGAAGTTAATAAACAGTGGAGTAGTCTCTAGTGCTCCTAATAGATTATTTGTAGAGAAAGTATTTGAATTCAAATCATACTAATGAGATCCTATATAGGATTTAGAAACTGTTATTGGTAGGACGATAACGATCGTCTAGAGAATAGCCTCAAACCATGATCAGATTGTACCTTTTTGTCGTGTCGGTTATTATGTTAAGCTCATATACCTTATTCTAGCTTTCGTACATCCCATTCTATTCATTCTACTTGAGTCTCATACTGACCTTGTTATTTATTCGCTTATCAATCTTGACTGTTTTTATATTAGCGCGTAGGTGTTGTGTACATTTCTTATCCCATTACTCATCACATGTCTGTAACTTACTTTTGTGTAACTATAAATATTGATTAACGCTTGGTTAAATGGGAGTTGGCTTACCAGCCATCTCCACTCTGCGTCGTTTTTCTTCTTTCTACTCCATTCGCTCTATATACAAAATATATGTATTCAAAAGTCCATTCTCGTTATTTGACTTATTTAATTCCGTTATTGACTAACGCGATTAAAGTCGATGATTATATACGAGAATAGGTGATAACAAACATTCTATACGATCTAATTGGAGTCAGATTCACGAGCCACTAAAGTGGAGAGCCCTTTCGACAACATCGTCCGATTTAAACGACGCAAAATAACGGGCCCTACTAAATTTTCTTGCATAATTCAAAACTGAATTTCAGTCAATAACCGTAATATCACAAATGCATTTTTATTAGAATACATGTTAAATTATTATACATTGCTCATTTAAGGTTAAAATTTTGAGTTTATTTAACAACAGAAAACTACTATTGAATAAATCATTTGGGTTCCTCATAACAAACAAAAGCATCAGTTCACGTCATCTTTTTCTCATTATCACATAATTATTTTCTCAAAAGTTATTTCAGTCCAAAATATCATGATAATCCCGCATATTTTATTCCACCATACTGTTGTATCAGAATTTTATAGCTTCTTTGTTTAAAACATAAAAATGAAATGGATGAAGATGTTAAACAATAAAATTTTATTACAAACATTCAGACATATTCTGTGTCGTACTTCTTGAAGTGATTTAAAATATGTGAGCTCAATTTTTTAAGTATTATTCACCATAATCAATACAGTTATTGAACCTTAAATAATGCCATCAATAATCTGAATATACAGGCGGATATAAATTTTGACCGATTAGAGCAAAAAGACATTACAGAACATTTGATGTTCATTGCCCAGTGGTGGCACTTTGAATAGAATCGCTATTCATGCGCTTTTATCTGAATCTGATAACAAGAGGACCATATATTTAGAGCAAATCAATCTTGAAGTTTGTTATTTCACATGTCATTGTGAAGATATCATTCATAGCACTCTTTATATTTGATGTAGCAAAGGTCTTCGTTTTGAATTTGACAGGGTATTTTATAAAGAAGTCTCCAATAGACCACTAGTTGAAAAGAAAGTGTTCGATATTTCCAAACTTTCTGTGTATGCTAATTATGGAGAACTGGGAAAGGTTTACGAAAGGCTTCCATATCCTGCTTGGAACGCCGTACACTAAATTCTATTTTGTCAGCCATTTTGCGCTTTTATTTAGCATAATGCTGCCTAATAGTCGTTAGTAGCACGAATTGAATTCGTGCATTTCTGTTTTGAAAGTGTTACAACTGGTACCCCACGTTTGCGACATTTCACTGATCACAGAGCAATTCTAAAGTATTAATCAGTGACATATCAGTCATATTTGAATCAGGCTGGATAATTGATTAGTGGATGCGAAGATTTCAGTACATTTAAGCAAGTGCTCAATGTATAGACTACACTAAAAACCACCTAACATCTGAAAGTTCAAAACATTTTACTCAATTTGTAGTGCATCTCATTTCATGCATTATATTTTATGACCCGTATTTACTGTTTTAGTCTGTTCATTTCAAGGTAGAGCTAACATGATAATGACGGATTTATGTATTTGATGTAACTTGTCTTTATCTCCCAACATATGGTAGGGGATGTTATGTGTGTTTCCGTTGATCCAGTGAGTCAGATGTAACCATAGGTTTAATATCCCGTCTTCAGTCTATCGCTACCAAAATACCTATACAATTTGTACTCCACCCCAAGCCTAAGTTACAGTTACATACTGAGTCTGTACAATTCAATTTTGAAATCCCTAATAAGGATGTTGTGATTACAATTAGTCATCTTTATTCTCAAAAATGATTGGATTACGTCATATAAATAAGCGTGTAATGAGAAATCCCTAGCATAAGCTTATAAGGTTAAAAGTAGTTAAATAAATCAAATTAAGTTGATGTCCTTTCCCATCATCAAGATAGACTACTATCCTGCAAATTGGCATCAAATTTCCACAGTTCAGTAATTATTCTTTATATAACAGTTTGACAGATCATCCATCATATTATTTTGCCTCTGATCCTTCAGGCCAGTAATATAGGGTCTATTACTTACAGTAGTGAGCTTAGAAAATATTGAGTGCTGGTGATCTAAATTGTTTCGCAGCTACGGTGACATTTCGAGCAGGAAATATGTAGACAAATTGGACCGATGGTAAATTTCTCATACATAATATTGTTCAATTACAGCCAAATACCTCATGCATATTTTTCGTCCAATTCTGGAAAATATGTTATGTAGGGCGGGGCACGATTGATGGGTTTCCCAGCTGGCAGTGAAATGGTTGCGGCTAGAGTTAAATATGAAGAAAATCATCTATTCGTCTCAGAAACGATGTGTTTTACTGTCTATTTTCTGTCCATGCACATTATAATGATCACCCTACCACAAATGCAAATAAGGAGATATATTTCCATTCCGTGTACTTAAGACTCAACAGAATTAAAATTGTGGACGTGCAGAATCGCAAAATGAAGTCAACTAGTTCAGAGTTAAATCGTTCAGGACCGTCCACTATCAAATAGCTCCTCACATTCAACAGAAGTGTCGTTTACTATTAGTGGTAAATTCCAAATAAAGCACAAAGTTCGCGTTCGTTATGGTTCTATAGGACTAGTATAGTGGGTAATGCAGCTCACAGAGCTGTCCAACGAAACTCACACAATCAAACTTGTCAACGAAGAGATTGTTTAACACAAAATGAGGGACGTAATTATGATAACTGGAGATCATATAACTTAGTCATTTAGATAAAGATACTTGAGTGTCTAAACGAATGATCCCAGTATTTGGTGTGAATGAAGAGCTGGCAAACCTACTTCCGGCTATTTTTAATGATGGTGGCGACTCTGGTTAAGGAACTGTAATGAATCGTGGCCTAAGTGCCCTGTTAATGTCCTGATTGGTCTTGCTTTCCGCCTAGCCCAGCCATTTGAGTCCAGAACACCAATCTCAGCCTCTGCAATATGAATCATTTATTTCAAGCATACTGGGTTTATAGACCAATCAAACAGACAACACCGTACCATAAAATAAGAAACAACATTTGTACAAAATGTGGCCAAATGTAACTGTGAATGTGGGAGGTAATGATTAACAGACATGGAATAATTCGAGAATGGTAAAACGTATAATAATAGTTCATAGGCCAAAATAAAGCTTATAATAAGAGGGACATGAATTTGAGTAGTTTAGTTAATTAACAATTATACGATAAAGATATACGTTTAGTAGTATTCCATAAATGGATCCCAAAGTTACCATTCATTACGCTTATCGGGACCGAACAGAAACTAACTGCGTTGTTTACAAGGGCTTGAGAGCCAGAGGTTGTTCCAATAACACTGAATGAGTCCATAGTTGTCTCTATCTTTAGAAAAAGTCCAC